TTTCTCCGATGGTATTGCAAAGTTTTACCTGTGGAGAGGAGGGCAGAAGAGGCCACCAAGGTAGCAAGAGTCTTCACAGCAGTAATCTTTGATCAGCTAAGGCAGATGGAGGCAGTCTTGGGGAGCCCAGATTGGAGATTGTGTCTGGGGGAATTTTGATGAGCGGTTTTGCAAAGGGATTAAATCCTGGAGGATCCCAGCTGGTGCAACTGAGAGCAGGTAGGTCTTGTGGGATTTGTAGAAGGGATCCTGGGAGCAGTCTTGAACATCTTTGAAGGAAAGGCTGGGTGTAGGGGGAAATCCTCTGTGGGGGCTCAGCTGGGTAAAATCTGTGGTGTGGGGAAGGGGTTGTCTAGTCATGTTGTCTAGTGAAACTGCCTCAGAGACAAATCTAAGAGACTACCTCAGGTGACAAATCTTGGTGAGAAAGTAATCCCATGGATAAAGTCTGAGGAAAAATAAACAGAATAATGGAAGCAGTCAAGCCTCCTGCAGGGAAGTAGAAGAAAATAGTTTTAGAGGTTGCATCCATAGCTGAAAAAAAGTCTTCCTTTTGTCTGGGGTTAAACCTCTGGACTAATTTTAAAATGTGGTTTAGAGGTTGATCTGAATAGAGGTGAGAGTCGTTTCTGTCCATATGCTTTGTGCTGTGAGACACATCCTACATTTTAACATGGTGTTATTTTAAAGGGGCGGGGGGGACTTGTGGGGCCCTGGATGTGGATCTCACCGAGGGGACATGTTCTCAGAGCACAGGGCTAGATGTCATGGTAAGAAGGCAACTCCGTTGATGAAGGAAGCCATAAAAGATGTTTAAAACCCTAAAGTATTGAAAAAGGTGGGAGCATAAGGGGAGAAACAAAGATAAAGTGGAAGTTTAAGAGAAAGGGCAACTGACAGGTATAAAAGAAAATCTTTAACCACAAGGGGCCAAAAGGAAGGCAGGCTAGCAATCAAAATAAAATATGTTTAAGAAATAGAGTTTATAAAAAAATGTATTAATAAAATGTGTGAAGACTATGGGGAACAGAAGGTATCCCATACAGGAAATACAGTAAGTGTGAAGAGTTATCTTTGTCCATGTTTAATCACTTCATCTGATGCCCACTGGAAAAAGAAGCACCATAATTTTTAGACACATCATCCACATTGGTTAGCAGTATTATATTCAGGGAAATGTAGTCGAAGAGACGCTTACATCATTTATTTTTACAATTCTACTGCTATAGTTTGTTATTTATGGTGCTGTCTCAAACTTGGTATTTTGCAGATTATTGTTGAGAAAAGCAGTAGTCAGAAAGTTGAAGCTTCATTACAGTGACATGTTAAATGATAGTGATGTGGGAAGAAGGCCACTAGGCTTTCAATGCCATCATACATTACAGGGAGGGTAACAGTGGTTGATGAGCAGCATTTTCAAAAGTCTTTTATAAAGGTGCTCATATTCCTAGAAATAACTTTAAAAATCTTGCTTATGCTTATACTCACTGAGTTCCCTGAGAGCTGTACCGTAGGTATGCAGCCTGCTCTGGGATTCAAATAGTCCGTGTTGTCAAGATGGCCCCGGTACCCAGCCGGGAGGTCTGTGGAACAGCCAGATGTGAAAGCTGTCCTCCCCTAGCCAGCAGGGAGGGAGGAGGAGTAGGAGTAAGCAGTTACATGTTGACCTTGACATCAGGCAGGGAAGATCTCTTTTATAAGGAAATTTTCTGGGGTGGTTCCAGTTTATGGCCAGGTAAAGAGTATGACGATAACCTATTTTGTGCCATTGTCATGGTATTTAAGCCCCATTCCAGATCACTAAAGATTCTGAGCATTTATGCACTGTATGAAGTGAGCTGGGATATTAAGTACAAAGTGAAACCTGACGGATTTCGGAAGAAACCTGAACCTTGAAATCCTGGCAGTTATATAGTCCCTCCCGAGCTACACTGATTATTTCCTGCTCCCATTCCTTTTTTGAGAATTACTCTCAGCGCATCAAGATTGGGCCATATATCAGCACTGTCACTTATTTCAAAATTTTCAAAGCTACTGCTTGTCCAATTTCAGAACAATTGTGCATGTGTCCCCCAAATTTTTTCTGGTGGGTTGAAGAGTGTTCTTGGTGCTCTGGCTCCCTCCCCTTGACTCTTCCCATCTTTATGTGTGTGATTGCAGGTCCATGGTCACAGACCATTCAGGATGCTGGTGTGAATGAGCAGTGCAGCAACATCCTCAACAACAAGCGATTTATGCTGGACATGTTGTATGCGCATAACAAAAAGCCCAAGGATGAAGAGGAGAAGGAGCTGGAGGCGAAGGAGGAAAAGAAGGAGACGGAGGAAGGCGAGGAGTCACTCACTAGCCTAGCCAGTAGGATCTCTATCCTTCAGGCCACAAAGCAGGCCAAAGATGAAAGTGTCAAAAAGATGGAGATCGGAAATCTGGACAACCAAGGCAGTGTGAAAGCCTTTGCGGAAAAATTTAACAGTGGTGAGCTGGCCAAGGGGACAGCCGTGCCTGAAGATGAAATCAGTGAACAGGTCCCTGAGAAAACACCAGCACAGCCAAAGAAGGAATCTGACTACATCTGGGATCAGCTCATGGCTAATCCTAGAGAACTTAAAATCAAAGACATGGATTTTACAGACTTGGGGGAGGAGGATGATGTAGATGTGTTGGACATGGATATGGGTCCTGGGGACTCCCTTGTTCCCCCTCCTCCACCTCCACCTTCTTTTCTGGGTTTGCCTCCTCCACCACCTCCCCCACTGTTTGGATGTCCGCCTCCACCTCCACCCTCTGCTAATTTATTGGCTCCTCCTCCGCTGTTCAGCACTCCTCAGGGTTTAGGGTCACCCCAGGTTTCTAGGGGTCAGCCAGCATTTATAAAGAAGAAGAAAACCATCCGTCTGTTTTGGAACGAGGTACGGCCATTTGAGTGGCAGTGTAAAAACAACAAACGCTGCAGAGAATTCCTGTGGTCGAAACTGGAACCCATTAAGGTGGACACTTCCAAACTGGAGCATCTCTTTGAGTCTAAATCCAAGGAACTGCCTGTCACAAAGGTACAACTCGTATTCAGCTTGCTGTTATTTTGCTATTGTATTGGTATTCTTTCTGACTTAGATCTAGGTGATTTACGTTGTTTATATGAAAACAGTGGAAATTACTGGATGTGTTTCTAGCTTGGCCTATGACGGAGGATATTCCATGGCCTGAAACTAGGAGATGAGGCTAGGGTGGTGTACATGCCAAGCTGCCCTCTTATCTCAGGTCTACCGGGTTTGGGATATCACTTCAGGTGGGGAATACCAACAAATTTTACATTAGGTTGTTTGTAGCCGAGTGCCAAACTAGGTATTGAAATGTGAAATATTTTCTCTTACATTCACATAAACGTCACAGTGCGATGGTTCATATCTGTGTATTTGACAGTTCTTCGCTTGGTAATATCTTCCTAATCTTTATGTAGAAAGGTTAGAATATCAAACTGGATCTGCTGCAAAAAGCCTACACGTGTGCTTTGTTCTGAAGGATCAGTTTATCAGCTGGACCAAGTTTGCAGCTAAACTCTGCAGGGGCGCTGGGTTTTTGTTTTATACTGTTGAACAGGCCTATTTTAAATCCTTAATTTGTACAATGTGGCTATCCAAATTTTAGGATAGAAGCTGGCACGGGAAATACCTCTGTAGCTAGGATTCCCTCTTCCTTAGGAGCATTGTTATAAAATAAATAAAATAAAAGGCTGATGACATGGCTGTTTAACATTAGACTCAACAACAAAGGGAAGTCTTTTATAGTTAAATTTTGTAAGAATTTGAAGTAGCATTAAAAAAGTTACTAGCGTGAACACTTGTTTTTCATGGCTAAATAAACTTTTACTTCTAAGCAGAATAATCGGTATCAGGGAAACAATGGTTTTTCCAGTTAAAATGCTAGTAAAAGATATCCATATCTTACTTAAAATAACTAAATCAGTTGTATATTTTCTGTGTATGCCTATATGTTTTATAGTGACATAAAAAAGTCAGTACCTTGACTGGTTTACGTCTCTTTGGCTTGCAACAGTTGTTATATATTTTACGTATCATATATATTATTGTTTGCTCTTAATCTGGGGAGACTGGATGTCTCACGGTAGAAGTTCTCCGTGTCACTTGTCTGGGTTATTAACTCAAAATTTTCTCATAGTCATTCTTGATCTTCTTGGCCAAGTGGAAACATTGCAATTTGAACAATCAAGCCCCTCATTAAGTACCTAGCAAACAACAGATACATAAATAGATGGCTCGCGTAGATCCTGCCATCGCTGTTCTTAGCTGAATTTTTTGTGACACAGATGCATGTAGATCTGAAACATATGGCGTAGCAGCTCTAAAAACACATTCAGCTGATCATTCATTTGGCCGGTGCTGAGATTAATTTCTCTCTCTAATTCCTTTTCTGCTGAGGGAAGGAATGCTGATGACGTTGTGGCATGTTACTCCTCATCTCTCTCCCTGTAAATACAAATCTGCCACAGATGGTTCATAGATGGAAGGAATGAGAACGTTTTCTTAGATCCATAAAACATTTAATTCCTCGAATTGAATGTGGAATTATGACATATTTGCCATTTCCAAACTTTAGCTTTGTGCTAAATGCCAGTATTGTAATGGATCAGCCTGGCTGATTCTTAATCTTCTATTCTCACCCAACATTTTTGATGTTAAATTGTTGGAATTTTGACTTGTTTACTTTTCCAGTCATTTACCGTGCACGTTCCCAAACTACCTTTGGCCATTTCCCCCCCCTCCCCTCACACTTGCTTCCCAAACCTGCCTGGGCTGCCTGATGCTTTGGCACAGCTTTTGGCTTCTGGCTGGAAGATGAGTGAGCAGGTTTCTTTGAAATTAGTGCAAGTCTGAGGAATGATTTAGGTGACTGCTTTCCTCTTGGAGACTAATAACTGCTCTCTGCATGAGACATTAGACTTTTGGCTCTCTTTCCACCCCGTCCATAGCACAGACATAGAAGTCTCATTGTCTCTGTAGAGAAGACAATGGTGACCAAGGATTACCGTAGTGGAGGTCTACTCAGACTTCTGAGACTCCTGCGTGGTTTTGGTGAATACCAGCAAATCTTCCAGGGTAGGAGACGGTCCTTAGATCAAGTGAGAGTGGGAATAATTAAGCAGACCACTGAATCTGTAAAAGACTTGAGGTTTGGTACGAAGATTGCACTCAAATTAGGATAGCTCTCGCTTTTTCCAGACTGCTTGGTTTATTTCCAGGGAGTACATTCCCCGTTGTGTCTAGTTTCTCGTGTCCAATGGCTGCAATCCAAAACAGGTTTATTCTATAATATCGTAAAGTCTGACTCACGGCTCAGTTGGTTCAGCTGAAAAAAAGAGCGCAGAGCAACAAATCAAAAGTCAAATCTCCAGATTTCATAGCAATAGATGGAAGCAGGTGCATGGAAAAGGAACAGTCCAGAAGGATGAGAGGAAAAGCAAAGTCAGGGTGTGTAGGGGGGGGCTTGGCTCTATCCTGTGCATATGCTCTTTCATGCAGCTGTAACCAATTTTACTCCAGTTTCTAATCCTTCACTGTGATTTCCACAACACACAGCTATAAACAGCTACTTCCTGGCTCATGAGAAGTTTTTCATTAAACACAATAGACTGCAATAAAATAAAGTGGATTTTAAATTGTAGGCTATAATATAGGAGTTGGGGGTGGGGGAGGCTGGGAGGGGAGATTCTTGGTTTTGGGAAAACTTATGCCACACTGGACAACTCACACATTGATTATAGTTAATGGAGCACCTTTAGTTGCAGAGTGTTTATTTTCTGGAATAGAGGACCTGTTTGCGAATAGAAGGAGAGTGATCAGGTATCCCCTCCAAGCCAGACTAGAATTTCTTTCCTTCTCAGTCAGCCAAACAAAGCAGGTATTTTGACAAAGTACTTCAAAGTGTTTATTTTTCTGTGAAGAGAAATGAAAACACGCAGACACTACTGAATCAAACGGTGTTGTTCAGCCCTTCTGCCATCCACTTGGTTCTGCGTGTCATTGGGAAGTATTATTTTGCTGATTCATCTATACCTTGTGGGACATAGTGATCCATCATGTGCCCACAGACATAAAAACTAGGAGGAGTGAAAAATTAAGGAATGTGTTCTCATGTACATGTGTAGATACATGCCTAGACACATACTCCTTTTGAAAACATTTGTTGCAATTTGAATAAATGCCAAGGCAAGTCATAAATGTAGACCAGAATTTCTGAAAAAGATTATATATGTATCCCAGACAAAGCCAGTGGCAGCTGAGTGATTCCATTTTAAATCCTCAGTGCTAAATCCTTGCTAATTGACATAGAAATAAAACACCTGCCATCTCGCTATTAAGGGATTGCCCATTTTTTTCTGTACTAATGATGCAGTTTAAATGCAGGAGATATTTCTGACTTGATGCTCATATATAATTACTTATTTATATGACCACTGGAAAAGTGATTTAAATTTTTCTGCTTCCCATATTAATCAAAGCAGACAGGCATGTTTTAGACTATATGCTCATCAGACTACAGATCACCTTCTGTGGGATGGTGGTGGGTTTTGACTAACCTATCTTGACTACCCAGCCTTCAATAGAGGCAACAGAATCTGGCCAGTTAGGTCTTGTAAAGATCTAAATTCACTGCAGTTGTTAATACATTGCAGGAATGTTTGTTTCCCACAAATTATACCACCTGATATATTTGTATTTTATAATTATTTATTTACATTTAATAATATAATATTCAGCAGTTCAAGGCTTACGTTACATACTGACATATCAAAATATAAAATCAAGTGCACTAGTGCACTGTTCCCTCAAGCATTTGAAGTCATTCTCTGTTCATGAACTTATAAAACAGAGTCTGAAGTCACCTAATATTGTAATAGAAGTTAATAGTTGCAGCTTATTTTAACAGTCAGACACTTACACATGTGCAATTTCATTGCAGACAAAAAGGAATTTTTTTTCCTAGCGGTAGGGTAATAAAGTTCATAGTAGTAAAATCTTTCTCTTTTCTTCATCCTTTTATTTATTTGAAAAGGATTTCTTTGTAACTCAGCTGTCGTCCCCAGAATGGATTTAAAATCTCTTCTGCCCCTGTTTTTGAAGAGTTACTTACCCCAAATTTTTATACCCCATATGCAGTTATAGCTCTGGAAAATACCTACGTGCTTACATCCCTTGTACAGCCCATCTGACTTTCACAACTCATCGCTGAGGAGCGAGCGCACTGTTGCAATCGCAATCATCCCAGCCGTTAGTGTCGTGTGTCCTTCAAATGAGTATGTCTCTCTTGTCAAACTTAGGAGCTTAAAAACAGAGCTGCAGATCAGAGGCTTACTTACCCATACCGCATGTGGGAAGCCTAATTTAACTCCTTTCCCCCAACCTTTTCCCTTCTGCATAAGTCCTCTGGAGCTGTGTCATTCTGTGCTGCAAAGGACAAGGTAAAAAGTGGTGGTTTAAAAAAGGCTTAGCATGATACAGACTCAAGAGGAAGCAGTCTCTGGTGAACCCCGCTTGTTTTTATGTGGTCTTGACCACTAACTGTGGTCCTGAAAATGTGATTAATGGCACTGGAAGTAAAAATGACTGCTTTAAAGGAGAAGCTGCATCTCCGATCCTTCAGGTAGCTCCCCAGGAAAAAGAGGACACTCTTACTCGAAGAAGGCCAAGTTCAAGAAGGCTTCAGGGATGCTTTTAAGGTGTTAAGAAGAGAGCAGTTCTGACAGAACAGACATACAAAAATTGAAAACAAATGTTATCTTTGCTCTCCTAAAATTTATCCTGTTTACTGCAAAAGTGTTGTTTCTTTTTAAGTTTAAAAAAACCAACCCTCTCGTTACTTTCACAGTTGCATCACACCATGTTAATCATGTTGGTATGATGGAAGGGCTGTGGTGCCACACACGTGCTGGGCAGGCTGCTGGGACCGGTGGGCATACTTCTTCCTGTGCAGACAAGGAGCTGAGCTATGGCAGAAAAAGGCATCTTTGTAATGATGTAACTGCATTCCCATTATGGGCTGACCTACAGCCGGAGGGACTTTGATAAAATCATATTTATTAATTCAGACAGTTCTTCCAACGCAGAATCAGCATGTAGACCTGGCAGTAGGGCATTTTTTGACTCAGTGGTGGCTGTGGTGCAGACCCAAAGGAAGTGGAGAACAAAGCTTCGGGGTCTAAAAAGCAATCCTGAGCACAGATCGAGACTGGGGCAGTAACAGTCTCCTCCTGGGCTTCCCCCAAATCCACAAGAGATGCAAGAGGCACTACTGCTGTAGACAACATAGATGATTCTCTGTTCTGAACAGTTGTATGGGCTGCCACATTGCAGCCTGGAAAGAGGGATTGCTTAATCTCTCTCTTTGCCCCTTTGAGGTGCATCTGTGCTAAGGATGCTGCTGCCAGAGCCACTAACCACAGTCGAGGTAACAGGCTCTACAGGGAGGTCACAGTCACGTCTCTGCAGCCTGTGCCTTGCTGAATCTTGGGTTTATACACAATGAAGCATGTCTGTGCTTGCTTGCATCAATGTGCTGGTCTTCTCCCTATGCCCCTGTGCTTGACAGCATTCCTCAGCCCATCTCTGATACGGCAAAGGAAAGGGAAAGGGAGAAAATATGTTTCCAAAGTTCATGTCTATGGAGAGGGAGGAAAAATCCCTGTGTATAAGGAGCAGAGTCCTCTCCTCTTGCAGCTGCCTCGTATATGACATATGTAGTTGCCAAAGAGACACCTTCTAGCACAGGACAATGAGAGAATGAGAGGCATGCCAGGGCATAAAAGCAAAGACCATGTTCAACACTATTATGCCATATAAATGGTTTCTGAGTCACCTTGCCTAGTTGGTTTGCATTTTGCCGCTATGAGGATGGGGAGAGAGAGGAAGAAATTTCTTGGGTCTTCTCTCGAATGGAATTTAAAGTGTATGTTGTTAGTTCTTCGTGCTTTCATTATTATTTATACTGTAGTTTATACTGGAGGTAAGATCCAAAGATTATGTCTAGTCTCAAAAAAAAGTCGAAAAAAGCAGAAAGGTTGAAGTTGCTCTGCACCTGTGAAGGGCTTGATGGACATATCATGAGCAGCAAGGTAGAATACCCTTCCTCTGACAGCCAGAGGTCAGAAAACCATGCCAGTGTCTCCAGAAGGGCCTCTACAGCTCCTTTGCCAGTGCCCGAGGTGTATTTATAACACAGGAGAGTGCTGGCAGGCAGGTCGGAACCACCCTGTCTGTTTCCCAGCCAGCCATGCAGGCGGGAGAGGGTCGATGGCCACTCCAGGTTGACGCATCCAAGGGGGAATTGAGCCCCGGAGCCCATCGGCCACCCAGTTGCTGCCCTGCACTAGCCGGTCCTGCCGCACGGCAGAGCTCTCGCACGGCAGAGACAGCTTCAGGCTTTTTTCAGACTGACTCCTGCCCCAAACTCCAGCATCCCCAGCCCTCAGGGGGAGTCCAGTGTCTCAGGCCAGCTCGGCTTTGCATGGCATCTGAGACTGCATTCAGCTCTCTGGTTAAATCCTGGCAGCTCATGCTGATACCAGCAAGGATGTGGTAGAGTTCAGCTTTTTTGGATGACTATAAATGCATTAGATTTGCATTCAGTGTCAGCACCCTTGAGTAGGGGAAGTCATTGGTGAAAGGAATGACTTTTTCTTTATAAAACAGGCTGGAGGAATAATATTCTTGTTCTCTTCTTTACCAAGAAAACTGCTGCAGATGGGAAGCGACAGGAGATCATTGTATTGGACTCGAAACGAAGCAACGCTATTAATATTGGCTTGACTGTGTTGCCCCCTCCCCGGACTATCAAGACTGCTATTTTGAACTTTGACGAATATGCCTTAAACAAGGAAGGAATAGAGGTAAGAAAGAGTAGTTAGTCGATGTCTTCGAGTCTGCATTTTTAATGTTTCCTTTTTTTTCAATGTTGCACATGGTACAGGCCAGACCTTTCCTGGAATAGGGAGAAGAGGATGTATTATATCATGACTGAGAGTTGAAACTTGTCAAATCAATGTAATGGGCTCAGAAGCATGTAGTATTCACCTGAGGTTGGGCATGCTCAGTAAACATGGATTTCTCTGTTTTGTTTGTGTCTAAGTTTGAGTAACAATGGTGTTAATTCCTGTCAAGATTTCCAGAGTATTATCTGTTCCTCTGGAGATTGACTGAAATATTGTGAGCAGCAAGAATAGGCAGTGAGTTACTAGAGCTGATGCAACTGGTACAGGGTTTAATAAAGTTCATGCCCAGCTAGCTGTTGGAGTCATTCTAGATTGTATATCTAATGGAAAACAAATACAGTGACTAGTTCTGCTCAAAATAACATTTCTGTGTTACTGTTGTTTGAAGAAAAGCAGTTGGTATAAAGATTACAGATGATGTAATTTTTACCATTACATGTTTGACTTTGCAGATATTCTTACCGAGATCCAAGATGAGCTCTGTTTATTATTTTTTTTATCAAAACATTTTTCTTCTGTGAAGTGTAAAAGAAGCCTGCTGCTCCCCTGTTTTTTTTCACTGTGGTTGTACTCATTTCAAATCGCTTCTTTTTTTTTTTTGTAAGCCTCTATCACCTGGTAAGAGTAATCTGCACAACTACAAATCTCAACCAGTGGCTGAGCAGCAGAGGACATATATTGATACACAGTCACCTTTCAGTGGTTTGGCACTGTGTTTCATGATTTCCACCTTTCCACCTTCACTGTGCTGACTACAGAAGAAAATGAGAAAAGCTGGCTGGAATGGAAATGGAGTTGCCAACAGTTACATGCAAAAGAAATACTTAAGGCAAAAGATCATTCTAGCTAGAAGGCAAGGCCTGATTTATCCCTACTAGAATATAGTTTCTCCCCAAAGCTGTATTACTTATTTGGTGTATACATACCTTACTCATATTATGAAGGTGACGAATCAGACTAAAAAAGTAATTTTTCATGACCCAGCCCATGTACCCACCACTGCAGTTTGCAGTACTAAGCTTTGAAGTGCTGGAGAGAAGTAGCCCTCCAGCCAAGCCCCACTCACAGACCACAGGTTTGATCTCAGTGCTGTAGGCAGTGTTTCCATACAAAGTCCAACATAAAATAGCTGATAAAGAAGGACACATCTTTATTATCTTTCATGTATCATCTCCTTTGAATTGTGTCCTTCTCTGGCACGCTTAACAGAAGTTCAGCTGCTCTGCATAGCTAACCCTTTCCAGTGCCAACATCTGTAGCTGGGCTGTCCATCTGCCAACCACCTGTGGTATCCACAGTTGTGAGTGCCTTGTACCACCACAGCCTCCTTTGGGTGGGCTTTCCATTAGCTGCCAGAAACCCATAACTTCATTTAAAATATATATGCAGGTAGCTTTCAAACTGAAGAATTCAGAAACCCGGAAATGATACACTGCTGATATACTTGCCCAGTGCTAAAGAAAATGGGATTTCTGAGTTCTGTGTCCACAGCTTGAACCTAAGATGTGAGTAATCCTGATGTGATCATTCAGGTATTTAAAATCAAGAGAAAGGGAATAAGCTGAATAAGAGACGGCAGTGTGCCCAGGTGGCCAAGAAGGCCAATAGCATCCTGGCCTGTATCAGAAATAGTGTGGCCAGCAGGAGTAGGGAAGTGATCGTCCCCCTGTACTCGGCACTGGTGAGGCCGCACCTCGAATACTGTGTTCAGTTTTGGGCCCCTCACTACAAGAAGGACGTTGAGGTGTTGGAGCGTGTCCAGAGAAGGGCAACGAAGCTGGTGAGGGGTCTGGAGAACAAGTCTTATGAGGAGCGGCTGAGGGAACTGGGGCTGTTTAGCCTGGAGAAAAGGAGGCTCAGGGGAGACCTTATCGCTCTCTATAACTACCTGAAAGGAGGTTGTAGCGAGGTGGGTGTTGGTCTCTTTTCCCATGTAACAAGCGGTAGGACGAGAGGAAACAGCCTCAAGTTGCCCAGGGAAGTGGTTGAGTCACCATCCCTGGAGGTATTTAAAAGACATGTAGATGAGGCGCTTAGGGACATGGTTTAGTGGGCATGGTGGTGTTGGGTTGACGGTTGGACTCGATGATTTTAGAGGTCTTTTCCAACCTTAATGATTCTGTGATTCTATGGTTTAGTGGTGGAGTTGGCAGTGTTAGGTTTCCGGTTGGACTCGATGATCTTAAAGGTCTTTTCCAACCTAAATGATTCTGTGATTCTATGGAGCAGAGCCCAGGTACTTTGAGGGGATGTAGCCTTTATTGGTTGAGGGATGAAGCCTTTGTTGGTTGGGAAGGATGATGTTCATGGAGAAAAGTGCTTTTTTTCCTCAATGTTCCATATTTATTTACTTCTTAGCAGGTAAAACCCTGCACTGAATTCAGATTCCCTTCCCCAGTCCCCAATTTACAGATTTTTCTTATAGCACGTTGTTATAGAGTCAGACAGACATTTATAGCGAGATAGAGGGCTGGATTAAGCTATGCAGAATTGGCCAAGAGGTGCAAAGAGAGGTACAGAAATGCATCATTGTGAGTCCCGCTGTTTTCAGCAGAGCCCTGCCTCAGTTTTCCATACCAGCCCTTTGATCTACAGTGTAGACAAGCTGTGTTTCCTGTTTCTCTTCTCCTCTGTATCGACCTGTTCACTGGCTTTAACCTTAGAGTTAGCTTAGAGGGAACAGGGGTTGTCTTTTCAGTCTAGATTTTTAGAAAGTTTTCTGGTTCGTATCTACAGTTCCTAAATATTAGGAAATAATTGGTAGTGAAATGCATCAGCTTCATTTATATAAAAATGCAGAGAATAAAGCAAATTATTTGCTATATAATTTAATTTATAGCTAATCTATGGGTTGAATGAGGCAGGACTGGTATGGAAAAAAAATTATGCAATTGGTCTAATTAAAAACCTGCATCACAGTGGGTACTCCAAAGCCTTTCTGCGTAGTTAATCGTCTAGAAGAAATGTCACGGCTAGTAAGCAGCAGAGAGAGATGTAAGAAGAGCAGGAGAAGAGATGTGATGTGTGCGGTCAGGACATAACATTCACTGCTAAAATTTCAGAGAAGCTATGATTTAGGATCATCTTCAGCTTTTAGGGGATCCAGCATGGAGCAGGGCACCAATAGGGTATAAAGTTGCCTGAGCCATCCGTTGCCTTGGCTGTGAGTTCTGTGCTATGTCCCTCACTGAGGAGTGTCGTCACTGTCATCTTAGTGCGCGTGTGGCTTTAGTTCTGCACCTTGGTGGATAAGTTCAGATTCAATGGTATCTTAAAACTGACCTTAGCAATTCCTTTAAGGACAGTGGACTAAAGTAGTGCTGACAGTAGCGCTAGCACCAAGGCAGTGATGCAGTGGGATGCAGGCTACAAGTCTGTGATAGCCCAACTCATCATCAAGTTCATAGTGACCCAGTAAACCCTCTGCTACTGTCCCACATTCTGCTGAATGCTGTTTTGCTTGTGCCATTTAACTCTTGTTAGTAATCCATACTTTGCTTTTTAACTTCAAATATGTAACTAAGATAGGAGAAAAAATTCTCCAGGTATTTAAAGGCCTCTATACCTAAGTATGTTGCATATTTTAGGCCACGTGTCTGAAGTGGTTAGGTACCCCTGAGCTGTGAAAAAGGGCAGAAAATGGGGCATGGTGCTAAAAGGCAGATGTAGTCCATTTATTATGCAGAGCAGGCACTGTTAGAAACATATTTTCAAAGGAAGGCACAATGTGTGTCTGCAAGCATGCATCAATCCAACTAAAAAATTTTTTGCCACCTTACGTTTGCCAAAGTGGTTGTGTTTTCCTTTCTTTGAAAGCTTGGCATTCATTGTGTTCAAACAACTTGGAGCTAGCTGCAGGATAAAGAACTGCCTGCTTAGCATGGATGAGGGCTTTCTGTGAGCTAAGCAAAAGAGGCAAGCCTAAAATCCTGGCACCTAATTTTAATGAAGTGTATCACGGGCAGCTGCAAGAATAGAGTCCACCAAACCAGTCCTTGGTGCTTGTCTTTAGTAAAGGGAGTGAGTCCCTCTGTAATGTGCTACTCAGTAAGGGAACGTGGATCGAAATCAAATTATACCAAAGAGTATGATTAATTTAGCAGAGTAAAATTCGGGTAATGCTGTGAGGAAATTAAGGTAAGTTGCTTTGTGCTTTACAATATAGCTTTGTGATGCTACACAATATTGCATTGCATTAGTAGGTATAGCTTTTAGTAAAACTATTTGAAATTAAAAAATTCTCCGGGTATGCTAGGCCCTCCGTACCCACATTTCTTAAGTGTTTTGAAGTCCATGTGCCTGGAGTGGCTAGGTAGCCCTGAGATGTAAAAAGGGGTAAGAAATGAGAGCCTGGTGTTAAAAAGGCAGATGGTGACGTGTATAAACAAAAAGCAAAATTTGATTTTCAGAAACGATCAAGGTATTTAAGTTTTTGTTCTGATAGTTGCCGCGGTACATTGGCATTTGCAGTTTCCAATTTGTTTAGCTAATGCTTTGTAAAAGTGTGATGGGATGTTTCAAATTATGCTAGCTCACGTGACCTGAAAGAACACCTCTTTTCACAAGTCTAGACAGAAGAGAGAACAGATGCAATGGTGCCTCGCTGGCCATACACCCACAGTCAGCGTATCACTGCCCTAACGAGTTTCAGGCTTTATTTAAAGAAAAAAAGCTACACTTTCACTCCTTGCAGCAAACCAAAACATCTTCTACAGTTTCTGTGACCAGCAATGGCATGTTCACGTATTTCAGTAGAGAGCTGAGGAAGTGGAGCGGTCTGACTGACGCAGCAGCTGTCAGTTCCTGATTTACAGGGATGGCTATCGGGCATTTTAGATGTAGTCCCTTCTCAGAATTGGATCATTTTTGGAAGAGTTGAAATAAAATTAGTGCAGGCGGCCTCACTTACTGTGGAGTCCTGACCTTCATATGCTTTTATATTTTGTTAGAGTTTCTGCAGGTAATGCAAACCACTGATGTGTCTCATTAATAGCTGCCTGGAAAGCTGAAATGGGAGAGCCTTTTTGGAGCTGAATAGTCTGCTGAGGCCTGTCAAATATCCGATGAAATACCCACTAATGTGTATTTGGTTAAGCAGCTTACGAATTTGTGGGCCTTGAGCCACAGAAAGCTTTGGACCCAACAACAACCTGATATTTAGTTTACTAATTTTTTTCAGGCTCCTGTTCGCCTGGTAAAATCAGCTGAAACCAAATAGGAAAGCCAAGGCACCCCTGCAACCTCATCATCACTGAGAAGCCCCATTATCTCTTGAAAGAGATAACTTAAGGACCTAATTTCTACAGAGGCTCCAGGCTATTCAGAGTCTCTGGTTAGGTGCTTCCTTGCGTCCCGTGCTGAGGCCCGTAACCCTCAGGCATATGGGGGTTATAAATTTTGCCCTGCGAGCCTTGTGAGGCTTTCCTCTTAGAAATTTGTGGAGTTCATACATCAGGATGGCTGAGTCCAGGAAATAAACAGTTTGATCCCTTCGCTGAAAGTTCAAGGGCTGGGTCCAGCAGTCTAGGAGCAGAATAATTAGGATCCATTATCTCATGCGAACGGGATCTCCAAAAATTACTTCTTTTCCTCCAAGAAAAGATTTGTGCACTGGTTTTCCTCAGAATGTTAGTCTCTGGCCCGAACAGTTGTGTGAGAATGCATGGAGGTGAAATACATGCATCACACATATTAGAGGTTATGAGCATAGGGCTTGTTGACAACCAGTTCTTCTTTAATTGACCTGAAGTGTGCCATACTATGGAGAGCGTTATGAACTAATGATTAGATTCAAAGCTATTTGTGATTTAATGGTCACATCAAGTGCCAATAACCTTCTGCCCTGCTGTGTTTTTATGCTACTTCCATTGTCAGTGATGCTTTTAAAAAAATAAATAAATAAACTGGCAGGTGGTGTACTCAACAGTTTCCAGCACTGAACAAATGGCTCAAATTAGTCATAGAGTGGAAATCAAAAATAGGAGCATTTTACCACTTGCTCAGGGGCACACCAAGGATGACGACCAGCAGGATCAGAATTATTTGCCTGAGCAGATTAGAAGTGCTGATGAGTAAGTCATCGTTACAGGGGCAGTTGCACTCTGGATGGTGTGAGACCTGCCAGCAGCTGTGGTCCCATCGAGGCAGGACTTTCAGCAGCAGGGGTGATCCTCGGCAGCTGGCACCACAAGTACAGGCTCTTTTGCTTGGCGTTCTTTGTTTCACATACTACAGTATGCAGCACAGCAGCCTTGCAGTACTTGGACTCGAATGCTTTTTGTCAGCTCCATCTGGCTTGTGGTGTTTACATAAAGCTCAAGGAGGAGGAGAGTCCCTTTGGAAATAAAGCTTACTGTTTCATTGCTCTCTTTAAAAATGCCCAAAAGCAGTGCAAAATCTCTGGAGTGAAGGCCCTGCACCACCACAAAATACTTGTGGGATCCCTGGGTAGCTGCCAAAAGCCCTAGTTATTTGTAGGAGGCAATTGAGAATACTGCTGAAGTGTTAGCCTTCAAAAATGCATCAGAAGCGTTTTTACATCCATCACATGGCTACTGCTGAACTCTCCATGTATGGATGTTCTTATGATCCTATTTGCAAGCTGCCCTGGCTCAGCTGAGGGGGTGTTGGCTTCTTCTTGTCGAAGAGAGGAGTAGGCACTAGGAGGCCTGACTTCTTCAAAGGACACTCTGCGAAACACCTCTTCTTATGAGTTTCAGACTCAGTCTCTCTTTTTTATGAACTTTTTTAGATGAGTATCGGTTAAGCACTGAGAAATGCCCTGAAGCAGCTACTTATAAATCTCTAGTTTGATGTTAGGTATGAGCTAAGTTACAGATTTCAGTGTGTGTGGATGGATGGATAGCACATCTCAAAATCAATACACAGTCAGAACAGGTGTACATCAGAATATTTTCCAAGCAGTCATTGACAGAGGAAGAAAAAGCACCAGGGTGCATTGAGGGATTTTCCTCCTCTTTTTTTTTTTCATAGGATATTAATTTATTAAGGTAGAAGCTTGCAGTGTCCAAGCAAGGAGGCTTTTTTTTCTTTTTTAACTAAAAGGCAGAGCCACCATTAAGAGAAAGAAATGCTTCTTTATTTATATTTATGGAAGTCAGCATAAGAAGATGGACAGCAATATAAATGCTGTGCCTGAAATTAAGTAAGACCCAGTTCAACAAATTGAACATTATTTGCTTGCTTAACTCTTGTTCTTTGCCTGATTGACCAGAAAAAGCCCCTTGCTCTCCACGCTTAGCTCCAGCGCTGTACAAGGAGCCGGACGAATGGAAGGGGGCAGTTGTGCTACTTTGATGAATTGGCTATGTCCAGCACTGGAAGAAGGCTGTAGTTTGGATTGGCAGGTCTGAGAGCTCTTTGGCTGATTTTTATTATTCTCTCGTCCCCTCCAATACAGCCTCTATCATTATAGAAAGCTACAGCAAAAACATGTCATTCTTCAGATGAATAAACATAAGTTGTGTTGAAAATCTGCTGCTTTGTTTTAATGAGGCTTTGATCAGCAGGATAAAGACCTCAACTTATCTGATGCCTTTATGTTGTCCTGCTTTCCTTTTTCATTTTTAAATTGCATTTATTATGTTAAAAACTAATAAAGAAGCAATACCTTAGAGAGCAATACTTTGAGAAGGAAAGCTGCCACATGTGAACAAGCATGTAAGATCCGAGAATTAAAGGGAAAATATAAATGTTTTGAGCCATACTGACAGCAGAAACTGAAAATATTGAGATCCTTTTTCATCAATATTTTAGACTTTTCAGATCAAAAGAGAAAAAGGCTATATGTTATGCAATGCATAATACAGCTTTAAATTCAATGCATGTTCCTTGGGAAGTTGTCCTCAGTTTGGGTGAAATTTTTGGGAGTGACCTAATAGGCTGCAATAGTTGTCATGTTTCATAAAAAACAAAACAGACTGAACAAAAAATAATAAACGATGAGAACAGCAAGGGACAGGAGTCCTCAAGTTATTCCTGTATACCTACAAGTGCACTGGAAGATTCGTAGATGCTGAGGCTAAAAGGGACCTGCTATCTAGTCTGACCTGCTGTAAATCACAGGCCAAAATATTTCACTCATTCTACGCTCACTTCTGTATGTAATTTGCAGAAATGTGGCCAGTTTTGATTTAAAGATATGAAAGCTGAGGAGAGCAGTCCTAACCAGACGCCCTGTCTTTCTTCAGTGTTTGATCCTGTGATTAACCATATCCACTGACTACAAATTTTTAAAAATGCATGTTAATACAGATGTGTTTTTCAACTGCAAATATTCAAGATAGCAGGCCTTGTTTTGCTCTCTAGTGCAGTGGGTTAGTGCTTGGTTACTACAGTGCTGTCCTAATTTACCAGCCAGGAACGAAGACTTCTGCCATTGCTGCTGAAAAGTCACCCAGTGTCACAGGAGCTCAGGCGAAGTCCAAGCGAAGCTCGTCGCGTGAGCCTGCGCTGCAGGAGCACTCGCCACAGGAGCATCCCCGTGCCGCTACGCCCAGCCCTTGCATGCCTCTAGGCCTCGCCGCTGACGCCTGCCTTTTGTCTCCCTTCACAGAAAATCCTGACCATGATCCCGACCGAGGAGGAGAAGCAAAAGATCCAGGAGGCACAGCTGGCGAACCCTGATGTCCCCCTGGGCAGCGCCGAGCAGTTCCTTCTCACCCTCTCCTCCATCAGCGAACTTTCCGCCAGGCTCCAGCTCTGGGCTTTCAAGATGGACTACGAGATAGTGGAAAAGGTGAGGGGAAAGCAGGGAGGCCGGGGTGGAGGCTATTCCAAGGCTTTGCTTAATCTTTCCCTGACCTTGTTGTTATACGAGCATATATTTTGAGGAAACGGTAAATGGGTCGCTTTTGTTTCAGTGGCCAACCAGGAAACAGCTAAAATGATCCTTCATAATCTGTTCCTTCTATAAAAGAAAATTAGAGATTATGTCTTCCTTCCTTTAATTAGGCAGTAATGATATTGGAACAAAGAGGGCTAAATCCTTACCACATCTTCTCCAGATGTTGTTATTCAGGAAATTCTTACTTCAGAGCAGTAAAAATTTTTCTTCGGATAAGGATTGAATGAGGACTACAGTATTCAGCCTTACATCATAAAATGAGAGTATTGATCTTGCATCCATTTGAACTAAGGAAAACACCATCCATTAAAGTTATTTCTGTTTATAAATCTCTTTCAAAGTTATAAACAAAAGATAAGACATCCTTCAGGGGTGCTCTTTTCAGTTCAGTCACAGACAGTTGTCGCCACCTTCTTCATGGATGGCATTTATTCAGAGAACACTAGAACTGGGTTGTCTGTCATGTATGATGAATCACAGACAAAAATTTCAAAATGACAGCGTATAATTTTGGTGCATAGGTGAAGCAGAATGAAACTGTGTAGGCGATTTCAGCTACTTGCTGACTTTCACAAGCTCTTTGAGCAATCTCAGTGCAGGAACATTCTTCTGGCTGCACTTCTCATGCATACCCCATGTATTGCTCTTCAGGCAGCTCTCTCCTGTATATATTGATTATGTATGTGTATCTGTGCGCATATGTGTATATTAAAAAATCGGTGTAACTTCGTGTGATACGGATTCTGAGAAGTGGGACATGCTTCTGAAAATGCCTTATGTTACCTAGCCACAGTTATTTCACAAGTTATACAATAGTGGATTGATTTGCAGATGATACTGTCAAGATTACTCAACCTCTGTTTAATTTTCTTAGATTTTAGGAAATACAATCACACTAATATTCAGGATTTTTTAATTGTGACACTTTAGTCTTAGACATTTACATTTCTGACTCATAAATCATAAAATGCTTGTATCTGGCCTGAATACTTTTTTGCCAGTTATTTTTTACCTTGGTACAGCTATTTACTCTGCTTTGAAATTACCGCAAGGCTAAATTGTTCCTTTCACGTGAGCTGAGTTAGCTGTAGTTGTTAATCTATGTCTATACCTAGAATTTCTAGCTTCCTCTCAATCAAAAAGTAACATTTGAAGCACTGCTAAAAGCTAAAGAAATTCTAATAGTTTTCCTGTTGCTGATCCTATAAAGTTTATGCCACAAAGTTAATGAATTGCCAGCTAAAATCCATGTAGAATGGATGTTAGTATAAAAAGTCTCAAATACCTAAATTACTCAAAGAAGCGACAGCTGGAGTGAAGATAGGACCAAGATTTTTATCCCTGTTGAAAGGTAGGTAGGCCTAAGTACAGTATTTACCATAAAATGGTACAGGAAATAAAATATGATAACTCTGATAAAGTAAGAGAAGCATGTGATAAGAAGCCTAGCAGAGAAGCATAGATATGACAGACAGCTTCGGTCTTAGTTGGGTGAAGAGGAAGATATGGGATCAGGCATCAGAGGTACAAGAAAGAGCAAGCAGTTGCGTCTCTCCAATAACAAAAGGTTAAAGTCGGAGTTTAAGTTCCAACTAACCAATAAACATAAGCGTTATTTAGACTGAGATAAGATGCCATGAGCATATCCAATTAAAAAATGAAGTAGTTTGCATTAGTGATCTTGATAATAAAAGAGTCCCATGACTTGCTAACATTATTCTGTTCTTGAAACTATGTTTTTGCAGAAGATCCATCTGCAAATGGGCAAACCCTTAGTGAAACTTAGGTGCCAGATCACTTACCTCCACATTTTTTGTCATATTTTTTCCAGCATTTGCTTGATTTTTTTAAAATCTATTTTAAAATTAGGAAAATTCATAACAGTTCAGAATGCACTCATATTATGTATCGAGTCACACGTATATTTTATGTAAGAAATGCGTGAACCTTCCTACTATTTCCATGAGGCTGGAGGTTTTAAATGGTCCATGATATCAACAGTGTGAAATACCTGAGTTATTGATGTAAGGCTGGGGTTCTCATTCATGAGGCTCTTTTTCTAATCAGCCAAGAACGGAGTTTTGCCTAAGTAGGTCTTAGCTCCATCTCTGACAACCTGAAAGAAAAACAGCATGAAATTGTTCAAGAAAAGGGTTAAGTGAGATACTGTTCATGTTTGTAGAAAAGCTTTCCAGGCGTAATGAAGGAAGTCATCCTTCTTGCGCTTCATTTAATTAACTAAAGCAAGTCAGGGTACATTTGTAGGGAGCAGCCTCGGACTGTGAGGAGCTGAACTGGATGAATGAATACTCATTCTTTGCTCTTTACAGAAAATAAAAAAGGAAAACCCTTTCCAAATGATCTGTTTGATAAGGTGTATAATGTTAACGTGTGTCCAAGGTACTGGATGCCTACTGAAGGTCGTCAGTGAAACAATAATTTTTCTCACTTTTCTTTTGGTAACATATTTTAAAGGCATAGACAAAAGAGGTAGAGTTTCAACTTTAAATCTTCATTTTCAGACTTTTGATTGCTCTGAAAAATTACACTGTGTTACTGCTAGTTCTTTGTGCTGAACTATTTATGATGCAGATGCTGTCAAACTTCATTATCTCAAAGGGAGTTTAAAGGCCTTAGAAAGAGGAAAAGAATCTTTAGTTGTCCTAAATCAGTTGTTTTTTTTTTTTTCTTAAGGTCACTGTGGGCAAATATATCCTTATTGCTGACAACTTTAAAGGATCATAAATGAATATAAGCAGGTGTAGAAATGAGAAAACTAGAACTGGTAAAGAAAAGGGCTTGCTTCACTTTCTCTTCTGAGCAGAAAGATTACTCCTGACTCCAGTCTCCCTAGAGTGCTAGAGAAATAAGTGTTCAAAAAGATTGTACTTTTGAGTGATGCTTAAACTGTCTGAAAATTTTAAAAAGAGCATCAGAGCTTTTTAAGTTTTACAGTATGATCCTGATACTTTCTGTTGTTTTAAAAGGGTATGATACTTTATGCAGGCCAGTCTTGATTAAATGCAAATATGGCAAATTACATTTTGGTATTCTCAAAGTTCTCATCCCAACCAAGCTTTTACTCCTCGCAGAAAAGCATGCACGTGAACTTGTATAGGTGCAGTAAGCTAAACTTGTTACCAGTATAGCAGGTTGGTAACAGTGCATATGCCAGATCAGCTGTACAGAACACGTGTGCTACGTCCTACCATGGGATTCATTGCACACATATAGTTGAGTTCATTTGTGCATGTGCGTCAAACATTTATCAGGCATTACCAGATGTCACGTGGCCAGAAATTCTGGAGCAATCGTCAAATTTCATTCAAGCATAATTTTTAGGTGAAAAATAAAAACATGGTAAATAAGGATACGTGGTATCTAAGGATTTGAGGTAGCTCTGCATTATGTATCTGCCCTCTTTAGGTAGAACGTGCATTTTATAGGGAGCAAGAATGGGTATTTCATCTGATTATACAGTATCTAGCACACTGGTTTTTATTGTTTTTTAATGCTACAATAAAATAAAAAATAAAGAGTAGTTAAAAATGTGTACTATATGAAGAAAGTCTAAGCTTGGATAACTTGCATGTAAATAGCTAAATGAAGGGCTAGAGTATGGCCTGCTTTGGAAGCCTGTTATGCTACCTTTTTATTCACCTTCAGAATGTTTTAAATTAACCTTTTGGGAATGATTTTTTTAACAGGTTGCAAATTGATACAAGTAAAATAGTTCAAAAGCCTATGTTTACAGCAGATGCAGAGCAGTTTGATTCATTCCCCATAATGCAACAAAACAAACTAAATCAACCCTGACTTTAAAGCAATTCAAAGAATTCTGTGCAGCAGTTTATTGATTTTAGTTTAACTTGATAAAGTCTTGGATTATTTAGCACCTCTCCTCTGCTTTGCTCACTATGCCATCTCTTAATTTGTCTTGAATTTGCCATATTCTTTTCAAGAGGTTATTTGTTCTGTAGTGACTAGAAATGTACGTTTCCTTCATCTTTGTGCTCTTATTTATGGTAAAATATCACTACAATTGTTGAATGACCCGTTGTATTTCTCCAAGAAAGTGAAGTTCTCAGCTATTTTGCCTCTTGGTCTAAAATAACGGCTTAATTTTGGCTTCTTGGCTCATAAAGAGTGTAATAATTTGGCAAAAGAATGCCGCTCACGGATGTTTAGGATGGCATTTGGAGATAGAAACAACGTGAACGGTTACTGTGCATACAAAATAAATAACCCTGGGCCTCACACAAAGACATAGAAATAAGCTCGGTCAACTCAATTACCCTCGCTCTCTTCCTTTGAACTCTCTGGTGTGGTTCGCTTCCCGAGGTAATGGAACAGAATTTATGTTTTCAAGCCTTATTAGTTTACATACCTATACTCGATAACATGCGTGGATGGAAGATGCATTAAGTTAAAATGAGAACACTTGTAAAGCTTGATGTTCGCAGTGGGGTTCTTCTTCAGTTTTAAAGTCACACAAGCACAAAACCATATCTAAAACGCAGAGGTGGCCATCATTTGAAGAAAGCTTTAGGGTCAGGCTACAAATGTCAAGTCAGCCAGGGTCCTAACTTTTTTTTGTTTGTTTTTCAAAGATTAGAAAAAATAGTTATAAGAAGCTCTTTTATCAGTTGGGGCAGGGGGATGTTCATGCATCTAACTCAAATGCAGCAGCCCCTTCTCTGATTCTCTCTCTCCTGTTTGGAATCACAGAATAATCCCTAGGACAAGTAAGGCAATTGCATACATAAAGAAGCAACATTAGGAAAGTATTTTATGTATTTTCTTGCTGTCCTTGCGTGTGATTTATTAGCTGGAACATGGAAGAAAGCCAGCACACATGGCCAGTTTGCACTCTGCAAGACGCCAGTTCAGGGACTTTTTGCAGTAATTAATCTAAACCATAGAATTAAAAACTTAAAACAGCTATAGTCAACTGCAGCCTTCACTTTCTTGTTTTTATTCTCATGGCAGGAAGTTGCAGAACCACTTCTAGACCTGAAGGAAGGAATGGACCAACTGGAGCACAATAAAACTTTGGGATTTATCCTTTCTACTCTACTAGCCATTGGGAACTTTCTGAATGGAACCAACGTAAGCCTGATGTCCCAGCATTTCCCCTGCAGCTTTTTCCTTCAAAAAACAAAAGTCAAAACCATTATGACAGTTGCAATCCAGTATTTATTTTGTACCAGAAAAATAATTCAGAAAACAGAACCTACTTTTTCTTTTTATTGTGTGTCAGGGTGCTCTTTGCCTCTTTCAGCATAACCTGAAGGAAATGTGGAGCTCTTCTGGTGTAACTCACCTTGAGTTTAGTGTAGATGCTCCCCGTTCAAATTGTGAGAACTGTGTCATGAGTCATTTCACCGCAGATGGAGTGATTTTAGGCCTACTCTTCAGCAAGTTAAAAATAAAAGCAATAAGTTTCTCCTCCTGTAGGATTATTATTATTATTATTATTCCCCCTCTACCCCTACTTGGTAATAATTTTTGTCTACTAATCTGCATGGGAAGGAGTAAACATTTTTATTTTTAATTTCGTCCCTTTTTTCCCCCCCTTACAGGCCAAAGCTTTTGAGTTGAGCTACCTCGAGAAGGTTCCAGAAGTCAAGGACACAGTGCACAAGCAGTCCCTCCTGCACCACGTCTGCACTATGGTGGTGGAAAAGTTCCCAGACAGCACTGATCTTTATTCAGAGATTGGGGCCATCACTAGGTCAGCCAAGGTATGTCTAGTGGGTAAATATATATATGTTTTTAAAAACCCTCTTTAAAGTGAAATATTTAAGATTTTATTTTGTTCTTTGATTTTGTTCCTCCCTGGTCACAGCACTTTTTATGAATGTGGATTCGTTGTGTCATTCCCATTGAATTTCGAAGTTGCCATTACTCTCTTTTCTGAGCTTTATCTCTGTCTGTCAGGTGGTTTCCTCATCAACGCACTAATGGGCAGCCACATTATGACAGCTATTTTCATGTCATATACATTATTAATGTATATAACTATTAGGAACTATTTTCAGGTTAAAACTTTATTTGACCGGTATCTTCAAATATATTTATTCTGTGGTTTGGGGAAATCTCTTTTTTAAGGCAGATGCCTGATTGTATTTTAAGGGAAACATTTAAGGCAATGGAAGGAATGAACTTTTTTGGTAATAAAATTGTTTCCAGAAGGAAAGTGTCCTTGAAATATTTTGCTTAACTCCTTTTCTGTCCTCCTCCTGACAATAATTTTGATGATTAGGAGTTAGGGAAGATAAATAGAAATAAAGGAAACTTGTGGCAGCACCTCTTTTTAAAAAGTGGTAATCCCTTGGCTAATGCATAGGTCTGGTCAATGGCTCAATTTGGTGTGCAGATTATTTATTACTACTGCTAGCAGGCATGATAGAAACACTGTAACCTCACTCTTGGAGCTCCGAGAGTGTGAGATTTCATGGATGACCCTTAAAAACAGTACGTTACTTGATTAATGGAGTAAACATGACAGAATATAATCAGGAGATAACAAACATGAAAATTCTGGTTTGGAGTCATGTCTCATGTGAAAATGGAAATAATTACAGCAGATAATACTAGTATCCATCTAGACCAGTGTCTTGATTCAGACAGTGGCCAATACCAGCTGCTTGAGAGGAGAGCAGAAGAAGCTTCAGAGGAGGAGGAAGATCTCTCCTAGAAAAATTTTACTTCATGAGCCATAATACTCATTATACACATCAAATGGAGGAATGATTTCTCTTCCAAAAGCCACCTTGTTTGGATATTGGGGGGGGGGGGCGACGGATATCCTGTATAATACAATTTTTAAAAAACTGCAAAAATCAAATCTTAATTTGGCTCCTAGCACAGTTCTTGTGACAATGAATTCATAATGTAATTTTGTCTGCTGTTGAATTTGCCAGTTTCAGGATTTACTGTCTGAATATACTGAACAGTCAAAACTATTTTTATCTCTCTATTTCATAGTATAACTTAGGTTGGAAAGGACCTCTGAAGATCATCTGGTCCATCGTGCTTTTCAGTGCAAGACCAAATTAAACCAGGCTGCTCAGATCCTTGTCTAAGTCTCAAATAATCCTTCTACATCTTTGTTTTGAGACCATTTCCACACTTTTTCTCCATCTTACCTTTTAGAATGGGTTAAACGATAGCAAACACAGCATTCCAGCCTCTCCTTATAAATGTTATATGCCTACTATGTTTGTCCATTCAGCTTGTGCTATCTTTTGTTAGATGTCCTGAGGTTTTCTTTGTGTTTTTGACTGTAGCTATCCTTTTGACACCGGTTGTCTTTGGGCAGTTCACAAGGACATCCAGGCCGTCTCCTTAGCTGATCGGGTAACTCAGAACTCAGCCCAATGCACAAAGGAGTCCGATAATGCCTGCAGTGTGCACTTCATTGCGATCTACAGTAATGACCATGATCTGCTGAAGCAGATTTACTGCTTATCTCTCAAATCCCTAATAATCTTAAATCAGGACTAATCTGAATAATTTCTTGCCATCTGTAGATTTTACCCCCTCGGTGTGCTTCCTTGTTTCCAGATAATTCTGAAAGACAAAGTACAAACCGTGAGACACCTGCTGTTAACCCTCTCATCAGATGAGAATCAATATGCGTTCTTTATTTTCTTTTGCTCTCTTAACCTCACGCTTCATAGGTGGCCTCCCATGAGGCTCTTGTAAACATTTTGAATATCTAATTTTCTTTGCTTGCTCTTATCTGTCCACTATTTTATAAACATATTCAGAATCTAGTGATTATTTTGATGTATTTAATTTCCTGTTATCATCCTTTCAGCCAGGTTACCAGGTACAGTAATAAAGCTTGGAGCTCTACAATCTCCTGAATCAACCTTGCTGCTTTTGTAAAGATAGGTGAAACCTTTGCTATCCTCTGATTCTTTAAGTTACTAAGTGTAGTGAAAACATACTCGTTTTAGCCAGTGGCTCAATTTCTTTATTTTAATTGCTGTCAGAATTCTTGTCTTCTGCTTGTTTACTGCTTTGTAAGCTATCATCCTCCTCCCACACATCTGTTTCTGCTAGCAAGTATTCAAACCTTGCTATTAATTCATTCACACCTGTTAAAAAATAAAATAGGGAAAAATAAAAGCAGGTACCAGAATAGGTTTCTCCCCAACATCCTCTGTGGTGAAGTTGGATAAAAAGAAGTCATCTTGCTTCCCTTCCCTAACTTTTGTCTTCCTCAGTTTCTTTCATCCCCAGTGATCCAGGACCTCTGACATATTTTCTTTTTTTGGATACCATAAAGGAATTTGTGGCTTTTGTTTTATATCCTTACATATTTGCTCTTTGGATTCCATCTCTGTTCTAATTTTCCTCTTGTACAGCCTATGTTTAGGCTCTGTTTTATTGCCTTCACTGAAGTTGGTTTCTCATGTTCGGAAGGTTCTAATTTTTTTTATGGTTTTTTTTTTTTGAGTGATTCTTCATCTCTTAACATTTAGGTAGGTTGGTTTCTCATTTCCTGCTTCTTCTCTTTGTTAAGAAGTTATTTCACTTTTTTTTAGATCGGGACCAAGTTAATCACTAAAATGAAAATAGCTGTAAAAGAGAAGAGTCCTTGTTTTCCAAACTCCACACCACCATGTATGGTGTACTCTCAAGTGAATCTTCTACTTCTGTTTTTCAGTCTTAGAAAGTGGAAGAAAGCTTAACCTAATGCTGTCACTTACAAAAAATTTTTAGGTCTAAGAGCGTACAAAATTGAGCACAGTCTTTCAGTCTGTGGTTTGCTGATCTCGTGGCCCTGCCCGAAGCGGACGAAATTCTGAAAAGGCCAGACAAAATCACATTAAGAGAAATTATAGCCTTAACCTTCCCCGTGACGCCCAAGGTCTCCCTCCTTGGGATGTTCCTGCATGTGTTATACCACTGATGGATTACTGTAACAAGCGCTATTCCCACTTGATCTTAGCTGCCACAAATCAAAGAGTTAGGACATGGAAGCCATCCAAGCTGCCCTCTTCAAGGGAATGTTCACAGACGAGGCGAAATCTTGGTTTAGGAAAGCTGACAGGAAAGGAGAACTAATATTTCACTGTGGATTAGGCTGTATTTTGAGCTCCATTTTGTCTACAAACATCTTTCAGAAACCACAAAGGCTAAACAATTTCCATCCTGTAGATAAACAGAGATGCCCCTTCCCCTGAGATGCACATCATATGAGAATTTCCTGAGCCTTAGTTCATGAAAAAAAAAAAACCCAAAGAAAACAGGCTGCCTCACCAGAAAGGAGTTAGAAAGACCAGAAACAAATTAGTATAGTTATTGCAAAACTTGTGGCTTTTTGTTGAAGGACTGAAGTCATAAATGGCAAAAAAAAGCAGACACAAGTGAAAAAATGACCACAAAATAGAATTCTAGATAAATAAAAGTATTCATAGTTGTATAAAAATATATAAGATCATGCAGGGCCACTGATTGTTTAGTATCCCATGATTAAAAGCACCTGCTTTTTTTTTTTTGCCTTTTTTTTAACATATTTTAAGTTGTTTATTCATTGGAGTTGTAGCAGAACTGATGTACCTAATACTGAAGCAGGTCCCCAGATTTCTGCAGTTAAACTCGGTATTGTTCCTAGAAGTTTCCTGACCAGTACAGCAAGGAGGGGTTGCATCAGCACTGGTATCTTCTTTGTTAGTGAATAAAAAATGTATTCTTATGAAAATGTTCGTCTTCTTTCTCATCCCCCTAAATATTTTTCCCCATGCATCTGAAAGCTGGCCAGCTCCACAGAGTAAACTAGTAATTGTCCTTTTCTCCCCCTAATTTTAATTTACTTACAAAATGCCAAACTTCTGGTTGGTTTTTAACCCCTGCAGCAAGACACTTGGATTAGTTGCGGATACTAGGCAATGGAGAAGCAGGCAACTTTTAAAAGTAAGCAATAAGCAATGTTAACAACACAGGGGGGGCAGCACGGGTTACTGGTAGGAAAGAACAGAACGAGACTAAGACTTACTCAGGGGAGTAGGAAGCCTGTAGCTGCCCTCCGAGGGACTCAGCAGGGAGGCGTGGGGAGAAAGGAGGTGGCTGAAACAGAAGTGCCATTCTGGTGTAGCTTCTTGATACACTGGAAAGCAGAGAGAGGAGAGGAGAAAAGAAAAAAGTAGGGAAGATCAGGCTGCCTCCTGCATTGCTTCAGTGGGGTTTCTCTTGTCTCGCTTGACAAGAAGTATTTGTTTGCA